ATGGCGGGGTGGGTAGGGGGTACGTTGACATTCGCCAGGTGGAGAGTGCGGTTGTGGTGCACCTGTGCCCGCAAAACGCCACCACCTGGAGGAATCATCCTCATCTCCCGTCCAAAGCATGTAAGCTGATGGCGGCTCACCGCCAAAGCTGCAGTCCTGCGGGCCAAGCTGCCTGTTCCCAGCATGCATGCCATGTTCTGCAAGTACACCAAGCCAAGGCACTAAAATGAATGCACGAGGGTAGTACCGACCCGAGGTTGATGCAGGAACTGACGACTGACTTCGCCCCCGGGCGAAGAAAGTCACGACGCGGTCCCTCGGGAAGGCAATGTCCACGTTAGTGGTCCAAGTGTGCCATCTATGGCGCAGCCTTGTTGAGATGAGTGACGATGACAAAGTGCGCTTTCTTGATGCTCCCATCTCCCAGGCTGGGCTATTCGGCAACACTGTCGAGGACTCCGACAGGCTATCCAGCACATCCTGCCCCTGCGTGATCCTCCACCTGCCACCGGTCCGCCGTGGGCCACGCCTCCCTTCTGCGGTTGCTCCGCCCCATGCTATCATTATTGTTAAATATCTCTCGTTATTCTGTAAATATTTGATTTGAAGTATAAAGCTTTAAAATATTCTCACAATTAGAGCTCATTTAAAGTGTTTAGAGACAACAGACAGAAAAAGTGTTTTTAAATTTTTTTCTTCCTCTCATTCAGTTTGGCCTATTTATTGTTGCATGTGTTAAAGTCACAGTTTAAATATGTTAAATATTTTTATATATATTTAAAAGTTATAGTTAAGTGTTTTTATAATTTCTAATTAAGATATAGGATACTTTTTTGATAAATCAGAGATGGCTCATTTTACCAGACCAGCTGGGCCACTTTACCCAAAAAGGCATTTATCCGGAGTGAATTATCTCAAAAAAGTTTTTGGTGTATATATATATATATATAAAGTGGCCCACTTTACCTGAATTCACCCCGAGAGATTAATAGACAGAGCATCAGAAATGGGCAATCCCTATTCTTCACTCAAAAATCTGGAATAATTAAACTCCAAAATTGATTTACTGACAGCTGTCACAGAGAGTCATGGGGACAGTATAGATTACAGACTATCCCGAGAGAGAGAGAGAGAGAGAGAGAGAGAGAGCGAGAGAGAGATAGAAAAATACAGTCTAAAATAAAAGCCATTTTGATTTTATTTACAAGTGATTCATACAGCACATATCTGAGAAACAAAAAAAATCTTATGAAGAGGAAAAAAATGTAAAATGCACATCAATTACAATCTTTCCTTTACAGAGTTTGTTGTAATGATTTTTATCACCTGGGAAGATGATTTCTGGTTATTTATGTGCTTAACTCTTTTTTCCCCCTTAAAATTTGTGCACATTAACATTGGTATGTCACTATCACTTATTATTACAGCACAACTTGGATAAATGAATGGATTGCCATGATGTATCTGTGGAGGCTGACCTGCTAATCTGCTAATCTGCTGTTTGTGGAGTCAGGTGCCACTGTTACATTAAAGGGATCATGAACTGAGAAACCAAAATTGCTTTGATCTTTTGACATATAAAAGGTCATTGTACTACACTGAATCAAATTATAAACGCAACACTTTTTTTTTTGCCCCCATTTTTCATGAGCTGAACTTAAATATCTAAGACTTTTTCTATGGACACAAAAGGCCTATTTCTCTCAAATATTGTTCACAAATCTGTCTCAAAAGTGTTGCGTTTATAATTTTGTTCAGTGTATTAAAAAACAGTTTAAGAACTCAAAAATGTGTTGTTACTCTAACAGCTTATGTTGAAAGCAGTCTGCAAAAACGACAGCTTGTGGAATGTTCTACTCTATGATGTAATAGTGTGGATAAGCACCACCTCCACAGAGGAAGATCTTCGCCTCGACATCACTGCCTGCGTAGCTCCGCCCACCAATTTGTGCATGAAGTGTTTAGGAGAGAGGCGAACACAGTG